TTACTAGTCCGCGTTTTAGTAGTCCGTGTCTTACTAGTCCTCGTTTTACCAGTCCTCATTTTACTAGTCCGCGTTTTAGTAGTCCATGTTTTACTAGTCCTCATTTTACCAGTCCATATTTTATCAGTCCCGTTTTACTATTCTTCATTTCACCAGTCCGTGTTTTACTAGTCCGTGTTTTACCAGTCCTCATTTTACTAGTTCTCTTTTTATTAGTCCTCATTTTACTAGTCCGCGTTTTACCAGTGCGTGTCTTATTACCCCGAGTTTTACTAGTCCAGTCCAGTCCAGTCCAGTTTAGTCTGCAAAATACAGTATGTGTTTGGTTTCCCTTAGGAAACCAGCCAAAGATGTTTGTCTAATTAACATGATTTTTTTTTCGTTTCACTTACAAATGCAGAACAAAGATATTTCTTTGACTCAGACGTGGGTTTCCTGTTTTAATCTGTTTTGGTAATTGTGCAGCAACGCCTCTTGCACACATCATGCTCATACTACAGCTACATGTACCTACCTTGATGGACATCTTTACTCTACTGCATGTAAACTGAGGTCATGTCCAGCAGCGATGCAAATTTATTGGAACAGAAGAAAGTGTTTGCACAACTTCCACAGGATTGGTTTGGTACCCCAACATGGCCGCCGTTTCATTGTTTTGGAACATCAATATGGCTGCCGTGACGTCATGTGCATACATTCTATTCTTACGTGAAACCTTTTACCATGCAAACTTCAATAAAACACAAAACCAATATAGAGTGGATGTTTTCATCAAAGCGAAAGAAGATGGCCACTAGTGAACGGCCTTGTCTGTCTTCTGTTCAGAACTATGGTTGAGTAAACTTGTGTTATTTCTTGCTTGATATGGAATGATTATCTTCCAAATATTTTTCGTTTGGAAACTTCTTCCTTTCCTTTTTCATTGTTATACACGTAATACGCTACCGGGTCATTGACCCGAGACCCGTCGCTTATTTGGAACACTGTTTCACTCTGACTGGTATCACGTTTTATGGGTTATTAGACATCGATCAGATTAAAAATCGGAATCTGAAGAACTAGTTGTTTTCTCTCATCAAGATGGTTGCTTTAAAGGACTAAACGAGTGTACATCCATCCAAGGGTAGGATCAGAGTATTCCACCTGTCTGTCTTGCAAGGGCTATCACACCTATCTGCCCCTGACCGAGTAAATGAATTGAGCAAGTTTGGAGACGAGCACCAAATGCTTCTTACGTGACAATACAAGTGAATATATGAAAGATCATATATTTGAACTGCGGAGAAAGATATGAAGACACGATTGACCATCGCAGTAAGTGACAATGTTGTTAACTCGTCCCCTTACCACGTCCTCTCTTGGAAAGCGGTTTCTTGAATAATTATTTTCTAATGCAGTTTCGAAAGTCACTTGCCCAAAAGCAAATTCTTAGTGCTGTCAAATGTCGTTTTTACAATAACTGTCTAATTTCTCGCGCGCTGATTGGCTCATTTTTATCATCAATAAGAGTACAGACAGATAACATTTTAATTNTTAGTGCTGTCAAATGTCGTTTTTACAATAACTGTCTAATTTCTCGCGCGCTGATTGGCTCATTTTTATCATCAATAAGAGTACAGACAGATAACATTTTAATTCATGCAAACTTTCAAGTTCAACTTTCAACCGTCAAACTATGGACTTTTTTAAGTAGCCAATCGAAATGGGAGAAAAGCTATTGACAATGTTCGCATCATTTTGAATAAAATTCACATATCTTTGTTTACGGCAAGTTTACGGCGTCTTTCCCCCTCATTTATTCCCGGCATTTGACCATTTCNTTTTTAAATACACACCACTTACATATACAATTTACAGGGGTCTTGTTGTTGTAAAAAACAAATTGATGTCAGTATTTTATGAGTCTGTCCTCTTATTGATGATAAATTTCGTCATAACATTGTCCAAGTTTACCGCGGAGCCACTTTGAAAATGTTATGCCGCAATTTATCATCAATAAGAGGACAGGCGTATAAAAAAACTGAAGTCAATTTGTTAAATAATGACACGATGATTGTTTACCTTTTTACTTCGCCAAAGCAACATGCATTCCTGTCCTAATTATAGACTGGACTTACCGAAGGGTGAGTTCTTGTACTGGTCTCTCTTGCCTGATACGTGCTTCCTCTACCTGACGCTCCAGATGATTTACTGTATTACTAAGAACAGTGATAATACGTCTCAGCTCATCTATTTCATTTCGCTGATGCTGGGTCCTGGTTGACAACTCATTGAAAAATCCTTCCTGGCTGGCTTGCTCTTGAGGAGAAGATTCTATTCCACCCCTTACACGTCTTACTGGAGCACCTCTGTGCCTTGGAGCCTCTTCATCTCCTGACTCAGGTAACATGTTACCAAGTTTCTTTGCCATGTCCATGACATGGCTGGCCATTTTCTCCTGAACATGTTTGTTGACGTCCGATCGCAATCCCTAACAAAGTCAATGAAAAGATGCCTTTAGGGCCAATTTAGATGGTACAACGTCAGCGTATGTAACAAGTTAAGGACAACTCTGCCTGTTAAACTGAAAGAAACAAAGATATCAAATAAACATAATACGATTAAATATCCATTGAACTTGTGCGAGGCAGACCAGTTGGATATTTACAAGCATGACCGAGCAATTGAAATAGGGTCTACTAAGAAACAACTCTAACTTAGTGGTCAGAGCAGGACTTGAACCCGAAACCTCGGGATTTCAAGTCCAACGACCTAACCACTTGGCCACGCTGACTCCCTGTACTTTTCTTGTACGACAAGAAGAGCGTAATACGAATCTGAAAATATTTCAAACAAGATTTGGAACTCTTCATACACAGTATTAAATCATTGTATGCTACGAGTCTTTACAGATCGGTTTGCATCTCACTGAAAAATTCATATACCTTTAGGTTTGCACACCTCACTCTACAAAGTACAGTCAATATAAACGGCTTACCTCAAATCTACATCCCACTATGACAAATGGACATTTGATTTCCACCACTGGGCATTCTTTCTCCAAATGCTCCTTCAGCTAAAAAAACATAAGGTAACATGTGTCACAATTTTAAAAGTCACCAATCTCTGCAAGTCTCATGACTTCCAAGATCAAGTCTGCATACAAGCCAAGTGGCCCAAACGGCCGGCGCTTATCTCCGGTTTCAGTAACATGAAGTGACCAGGAGTATTTCTACTCCCCCTGGATGGGATGCTAGACAATTGCAGGGTTACCCCCAGCACTGAAATCGCTGTTACCCATTTATTCACCTGGGTGAAGAGAGGCACTATGAGAGTAACATGGCTTGCCCAACAACACAACAAGATGACCCTGGCCAGGGCTCAAACCCGGAGGTGAGTGCACTAACAATGAGCTACCACTCTGCCACCATGACTTGCAAGGAATACAGCAAACTATCAATTATGGGATATACAGTGAACTAAATATCATGCAACACACCGATTTGTCACACCCATTATTGAAACACTATTCTGATCACATAGGGTTGTATTATATGATTATTCTCACACACTGCTGGGAGCCATGCCAAGCTGAACCAAGCAGCCTGACCTTTATTAACATAACAACATAGCTGACTTACAACGACAAACGGCACAAAAAAGGTAGCTAGATAATAAATTCACTGCAAATTAATACACTCTAAAAATACTTCACAGGTGGGCGGGTGGGGCATGTCAAGCAATGGCGGCTGGCAAAACAAAAACTGAACCTTGTACAAGCCAAGTGACCCAAAACCCCCCTACACTTGTACTCAGACTCCCAGCCGTATGCGAGAAAAACGTTTTCCACTTCATTCGTTCCTCAACCAGCAAAAGCCACACTTTTCTTTAATTATATATATCAACTTAGTTATTTGTCTTCCCCTTTTGTCTCTCTCTCTTTTTTTTTTTCTTCTGCTGTTGCTTTTCTTTTGTACAATCCAATTTTAGCGTAATCTTCTCCTTGTTTTATCTGCAAATTAATATTTTTGCATTGCAGGTGAATTTATAGCCAATCTTAAATGTAAGTAAACTCTTGACCAATTTTTGTATAGCTAGTAGTGATGTAAATAGGAGTGTAAAGTAGGAGTTATAGCCCCAGTTAATGGTACATGTTAATTTCACTATTTGTTTTGTTTTGTTTGTTTGTTTGCTGTACATCAGAACATAATAAATAAATAAGTAAATAAATTAAGAAGGGAAAAAAGTAAAACAATTTAAGTACTTAATTATATTACAAGTAGAATATTGTGCATTTATTAGTGAAAGTAACCTGTAGAGTAGGCAATATAAGGTATGAAATTGTAAGCGACTAGTATTGCAAGGATGTAAATAGTGTACTGTAAATCAAGTATTGCAATGTGAGTGGTGTAAATAATGTAATTTTGTAGAGTAAATCATGTGATTAGCTATACTTATGCTGTATAAGTTGGTTGGATTTTAGGATTCCATACAATTTTTCTTCTTTTTTTGCATCATTTTAAATAACTGAAATTTGAATTTTTTGACTGAATTTGGAACCTAACATTTTCACAGGGGAAAGGGTTTAAGTCTCTAATATACCAGTAAATATAAAGATGACCCAAAAACTTGCCTTATCTCTTGGTATGTTCTCTTTTCCACACTTGTCACATTGCTGTGGGTATTTGGGACAGTCTTGATAGTGATTCTAATAGATAAGGACCATTCAACAAAATCCAATTTTAGGGTAAATTTAAAATGGCAACACAGCACTTTTACAACTACAGTAGTAACTTGCATGGGAAAGTGAACTTGGGTAGCTTAAAGGTAAATGTAGTGACTGATGATTTTTCCTATCCTGCTATAATGACTGGATTTCTGAAACCGTTGTTAATGAAAAGTTCCTTCCTTTGCATCATGTGAGTAGCCAACCTTGATTTGACACACATAGAAGCCTTAAAACCACTCTAAGCAATGAAAAAAAGTAAAAGGGTACAAAAAAGAAAATCTATAAGAGAGAGGAAAGAAGACAGATATTCCTTTTCAGTTGCACTGCCTACTTTGGAGTTTTTGATGACAAAAAGCAATTGCCCACCAGCAGAAGCAGTGTTACAAAAGCTTGATCCTCAATCACAAAGATCTAACATTGAAGACTGAACACCTGGAAGAGGCTAAACATTACCTTGTTCCTTGTACAAGTTGTCATACATTTCTTTTATGTCAAATCTAAAAATCTGGTGATACATCAAGACAATATCTTCTTCTAACAGATGATTCTTAATATTCTCAATTGTTGCCTTCTTCAGAAGGTAGTGATATTGTACAGAGAGACTTGATGTTGATTACTCTCAAGCCCCAAACGGTTATTATAAAAAATTTAACACAAACCTCCAGTGCATTCCAAAGCTCAAGTTCCTTGCAATATTTACAAGGAACTCTCCTGAGAGGGCAATCCTTTTCCATATGTCGTTGAAGATCTTTCCTCTGTAGTTGCTCTCCACACTTATTGGGGCAATCTTCATCAACAAATGGACACTCATTCAAGTGATCCTATATCATGAAAATGTCTACTCTTAGTACAGTATTATCACTTTGAATGGCATAAATTAACTCTGAAGATAAAAATGAAATGAAGATGTTATTATTGGAGTTTTACATGCACCCTGTGTGTGTCAAGGCCCATACAGTGGGAGCAGGCCAAGTTATTGAGTTCATCTTTACTCATGTATCAAATGAATTATAGAAAGAATGATGCGAACTGCCGAGGTTCAAAATTATGAAGCAAGCATGTGACCATTGCAAAAATTGTAAAAAGACATTGCTATTACAACTGTCACATATGGTCACATATACTTAAGGTTCCACTTTTATGATTTTTACCTCTAACTTGCCAAGGGGTCCCTTCCATGGGCAGCCACGCTGTTTCTTCATGTGACAAAAAACTTCGTGAGACAACATTTCGCGTTTTGCAAAATTGTCTGGATAGAGCTATAATTGGAAAAAGACGTCAAATAGGTCAAAGAAACCATGTGGATGATGAGATAATAATGTTTCCTGGATGAATTTGCAAGTTACATGTATTACCTCATTGACACCTGTGCCAGCTGTAACCAGCTGTGCAAAAGACCCCAAACACCCTGCCATAACTGGCTGTAAAAAGCACATGTTGCCAAATGCCCTTTCACTCTCTCCCTGGAGAGTTTGCAGTGTTCCTATTGTTCTATTGTTAATAAGAGGAAATAAACCAATCAAAATAGGCTTTGTGTGCAGATTTTAAGAGACTTCTAGGGTTCCTAGAAAGAAAGGTTTATGACTATATCTTGTGCGATCAAATTGTGCAAGACGTGATGGCACATCGTTGCCCAAATCCTTCAAGTTTCCAAGGTCTTGTTTTTGTTCATAATGCAGAAAATTACAACTTCTGGGCTTAAAATGGAAAGAAGAAACACCATGAAACAATGTTTAAGAGACACTGAAGAGGAAACAATGTGGTAGAGAGTGATAAAAAACCTTGCTGCATGTAGTAAAGAATACCTGGAGGACTTTTGGTGTGCTTTCAACTCTCACCCAGGCTGGGGTGTGTGCAATTACCGATATGGGCAACACTATAAAGTAACTTACAAAAGGCAAAATTTTTTGCATTTGCTATTGTTCTATGGCATTTAGTTATGTTGTATTTTGGTTGTAATGGTCACAAAGAATATGTTCAAAGTTTTTTAGTACTATTTGCTAAACCAGGAAAAAATTGCAAGACAATAGGAAATTAAGTTAAAAAATAAATTACTCGTGAGTATTTTATCTTTTATTATATGGCTGAGCAAATTGCTTCATTGTGATTGGCTGAGTGCAAGCCACTTTTTCATTCATTTTAAATTTGCACTGCGATGCACTCACACATTCATAATTTCCTCAGTCATAAAGTAAAGGAATAATCACATGAAAGCTCAAGCAATTGAAGTGCTACTATGATCAAATTTTTTTTCCCTTGAATTCTTAGGCATATCACATAGAATTCCACAAAAGATTAAAAATGCCATAATTTTACCATTCACATTCCAGAGATATTTAAGTTTATTATTATATCCCTGTTGGATCATGCAGATGAGGATTGTCTCAACCACTGGCAAATATGAAAATGGAACATCAAAGGTGGCCAGAAAACCTTTAATATTGCTGCTTGATGTCATCACTTGGCTAATTTGCATATTTTAAAAACTTGAATATCTCTGGAATGAAAAGAAATACCATAAACTACTTTATAGAACTTTATAAGAGGATCTGGACCGGCTTATAAACAGAGCTGGGGCTTATATAAGGGGGGAATTATGAGCAGAATGAGAAGACCATTTCAAAATGAGCTAAAGCAGTGTTGATCAAAATACATTTTTCATAAACTGGTTCATTTTAAACTAGAGGGGGGCTTATGTTTGGAAGGGTTTATTATCAGAAGTAATATGTTGTTTACGGCTAGATGGGGCTATAAGCAGGGGGCTTATAAGTAGAAGGGCTTATAAGCAGCAGTTTACAGTATTTGAAAATATAGCAAACAGCATTTTTCTTCTTGAAAAGTCTACCTGTTTGTGTTTAAAATTTCTTAGATAGCAAAGATGCAAATTTCATGATAGTAGCACTTTAAGGATTTATACCACTTAAGGTATTTGAAATTTGTTTTGAATTACACTCACCTCAACGCTCATGCCATTTTTTAAAGAATTTTCAAATATCACTCATAGTGTAAATCCGTAATAATATTGCATTCACAATCATACGATTACCAATACCAATCAAATCAGCAGGATAACCTTTGTTCAGACACAATTATTCAGCTGCAGGAGATCAAAATCTCACAAAACTAATATTAAAATACGTGCTTTTGACTATTGTTATAGAAAATATGCAGTATAAGTAATAAATGTTGTAAAATGTTGTTAAATAATCATATTTTTACAAATGACTAACAAAGTACCATGTATTTGCCTAAAGAATGAGTAATTTTGCAAAGAATTTGAACATAAAAATATGAGATTGTTCATGATGAATAAATGAATCATGATCTCACAAATGAAACCTGTGTTTATAATCAACAAATCTGCATTGCAGATAACTAGCAGCAACAAATTTTCATGATACAGGACCGCTCAGAAGCGAACCAAAATTCGTGTTAACGGGAAGGGATCAATGTGCGCGCACGTTTTGCTGCATTAGACTACGTTTTGACTTCGTGTTATAGCACGTTAAATTAAACGCATTAAGGTTTTCGCGCGCGCTTTTCCTGATGCAATTCAGCGCGCGCACAAGGATTGCAAAAAAACAAACATGCCTCAGTATTTACTCAACACCCACACTATCTGTGCTATTTTTCTCTATAACTGAACGCAGTGTAATGATGGCTTTAGTCTTTTAACACGAATATACGTTAGAAAAGGTAAAGACGAAAAGAACTCAGCAATTCTCAGCTTTTCTTTGTTACCAAAAGAACCCAGTTAAATGCAGCGCATGCATAGTAAGTCAAAAAATTGCGATTGAATGAAAATTTGCACTCTCAGAAATACACCTATTTCTCGAGAATTTCATGAGATTTGGCATGAAAATACTTCAGGAAATAAGTAACTGGAGTATTGAAAATAATTGAACTTTAACAAAGTAAACTCTAGATATTCCAGTAAACTTTCAACAAGGGATAATCAAAGATCTCTCTGTTAAATTATTAGCAAAATAGTGTTAACTTGTGAGAATCGTTACAAGTTTGTTGCATGCAAATTACAAAGAAAATCTAATGACTAGATTTTCTACAAATAAACAAAACTGATTTTAAAGGCCTATTTTTATTCGTGTTGCCATGGCAACGGCACATATGTCAGCTTGAACATCAAAAAACCAAAGTTTGTGTTAACTTGCTTGCTGCCATTTTTGGCGACCGAGAGATCAAGGGTTTTAGAGAAAAAGGTGAATGAAACACAGGTGTC